ATGGCTTACATACACACATAATCATCAGTTTAACCGAACTACACAACCTAAACTAGAGGCAGACAATACAGTATTTGGTTTTCTAGCCTTTGGTGTTAATTTTCCAGCTTTCTCTACCAAATTTCCAGAATTATTTGGACCCTCTCTCAAAATTTGACCTTCAAAAGTAGAGCACAGAAAATGGTCACAGGAGTTGTTTATAGCAACCAACAAACTTTCACCTGACATTTTGTTTTATACCAGGCCAGAAAAAAAAAAAAAATATATATATATATATATATATATATATATATATATATATATATATATATATATATATATATATATATATATATAATGTGACTGGTACAGACAGGTATAATTGATGATAGATGCTGTGCAGAACATTCCACACTTTTCACAGTCCTGGGAAGACTAGACTGATGGAAGGAAAATATTCATGATAATATTCATGTAAGCATGTCATGGTTGAATTGACAAAGGTATGGAATATTTTCTCTAATCCTATATCATTTGCCAAGGTTATATACAGTACACATGTGAGGTTTAATCATAAAGAAACACAATCTTCTTTTAGCTGGAAATTGTCTGGGAGATACAGGGGTGAGTGGAGAGGCAGAATCTGGTCCCAGGTTTAGAGTAAATTAGCAATATTGAAATTACAATAGACTTACTCAGCTATATGGTGCGTATTCACGAAGGCTCAGGTCATTGTTGGAATTGTGGTAACTTGTAACAGTAGCCAAGTAAAATCCATCTTCTATTGCTTCGAGTATGCAAATCTGCTGCAAGCTGATACCCAACTGGATTTAGTTACCGTGTCAAAGTTATGGATTCCCTATAGAAAAAGAGTAAATGTGTCTCAGGATGGAATCTTGGTGGATACTTTGATTATGAAAATCTGCTGCAAAGCAATACCCAACTAGCCACAGGCATTTTGTTACCTTGTCCAAATTATGGACTCCCTTCAGAAAAAAAACTAATTCTGACTCAGGATGGAACCTTGCTGGACACCTCAGTACAATGTTCACTGTTGGCGTGCCAGATATTAGAAGATACAGGTTGTCTCTTGCATACAGGAAACCCCAAAGGTCTGTATTTGCCTCAATGGCACTTGTGGGTAGTTGCCTGAGGTAGCAGGGTTGGCAGTATTAAACCTCAAAATACACAAATCAATACACACATTTATACAACTTGTTTCCTTTACCGCTGGATATTTGTATCTGGTTTGGGCTGGAGACAACGCTGGACTGACTGGATCGGTATCTAGTCGTTGGTAGGTGGCCATGTGGGCAGTGAAGAAGAAATCCCTTCCAGTGGGTTAAGCCCAATAGTAGATGGTGGACCCACTTGAGGGCCTGGGCTGATCCCTTGCTGGTACCAATCGTGTGGTCGTTTCAGCAAGAAGCCACGGATGAAAGGGAAGGAGCGCATGGTGTCTAAAAAATTGCAACTCTTGGTGTAGGGCTCACAAACCATTTACTGAAAAGGTAAAACATGTATTTCAAGCCAACGTGTCACAGGGAATGGACTCCCCTTTCTTCATGGCCTCTGCAGAGTACCTCTGCACTATTACAAGCCAGCTTTGGAAGCTAGGAATGTTGAAACCACCCCTGAACCTACCCCCTACCCTAAATACACACTAACAGCCCTGAAGAATGGAGAGATTATTCTCCCAAAATGCATTGGTTTGCTGCACAAGTTTTACCCTTTCAATAAATGGTTTGCGAAACTTACACCAAGAGTTGCATTTTTTTGGTCACCGGGTGCTCCTTCCCTCTGATGTGTGGGTGCAAGGTTGTTCTAGGTATGTTGAGAGCAGTCTGAAGGCATTTTATATAGGACAGGGGTGGGGGGGAGAGAGGCCTTTCCCCCCCATGAGCCAGAAGATATGTTGGGCTGTTTGCCTTTAGTGGAGATACTTCACCATTCAGACTGTGGGATCCACAGTCAGTAATACATTCTGGGCATTACATAGCTATTTGACTTCTGTTACGACCAGTAATCACAACATCTAGTAGAGGGACCTCTTCCAGCATTAACTTTCTGTGCAGTTTTGAAATGTTTGTGGTGGAACTTTGAGAGCCAAATAGGAAGATGATGCTGAAAGATGTGATAAGGTGTGTACCAATAACACCATTCCCACCAACCGATAGGGCACTATGGCCCACTTTGTGTCATACACTTTGTTTGGGTCACAGAAATCTGGCTTGGAGTAAAAACACAAGCAACTAACCCTTTTTAGTTGCAAGAACATGCTTCCCACTTTTCCCCTGGGTAAAGACATGAAACCAGCTTTTCCTTCTCTTGTTCTATGCTCTGTATAGTCAAGAAGTAGCTCTGCATACAAAGCAATAAGCAATCTTCTTTTAATAGTGTATTTGATCAGTTTTGACTAACGTCATCTACTGATAAAAGAAGTGGAGCTTGTGTAAATGAGCATCAAAATTCAGGTGTGCCTAGGGCAAAATACAGTCTAAATAAAGTTACTAAAACCTTCCCCTTGTCACCAAAGATGACAAAAGGAATCTCAAGCTTTGATGCCACATAGGTATAGCAGTAAATTCCAATTATGTAGCAGTGGTAGTGGGCGCAATGGTGGTGACAGTGGCAGAATTTTATGCCTGAGAGCAGTATTCAAATACCAGCTTTCCTCAACCACCATACAAAGGACACACTGGTGCACCCATGGAAGATAAAAAAGTAAACAGTTTTCTCAAATCCTGATAAAAGTCTACAACAACCAAGCAATGGATTGAAAAGCACACGTGACTCCTAGGCCCCTTTCACACGGGCCGGTTCAGTTTTTCCTCAGCAGGGGATCTGTGCATTAATCTCCTGCTGAGCAAAGTGGCCGGATGGCAGGTTTGTGTCTGCTTTGCTTATGCAGAGCGGAAACAGACACAGCCTGCTCTGCTCTATTTGCAATTGGATGTAAATGGACTGGTGGTTGTCTGTTTACACCCGACTGCCCTCTGATCCGATCTGGCCAGATGGAGGGGGAACGGATCCCATTCGTTTGTTTTTTCCAGATCAGAGGAGAATGGAGGGTCTGATAGTGTCCACCTGAAAAATGGACAGGCGGATCCCATCGGACTGCTCTTGTGAAAGGGGTCTTAGCATTCTTTAATGTTACCTTTGTTTTCTCTATCCGCAAGTGCTGAACACCTGCAGCATTATGTACTTCCCAAAAGAAAAAGGGTGAGTATGGATTGCTTAGTTTACATCATTTTAAAAACTAACCTAGTTGAAGGCAATGTATGGTGTTCTCTTTTTTTATTAGGTCAGGAGTCAGGACAAAGAAAACACAATTTTTAAACAATTTCCTTTTTTCTAGCTTGGTAAGGACAAAGTTCAAAATACAATTTAAGCATAGAAACATGGCAAATGGACTACAGAAAAAGACCAATTGGTCTATCAAGTCTGAACCATTTGCCAGAATCCCTCTCCTTCTCCCTTCCTGCCTTATCTTTAAAATATATAAAATTATATTTTATATCTAAAAGTTAAACAAGAATAAAAATACTAAAAACACACCACAGTTATGTTTTTTTCTTTAAAGCTGAACTCTACACATCCATAAAGTAACAATAGTTTGCACACCCCTAGTCAGCAAAGAATAAATGCTTGTTTAGTCTAGGATAGGGTTTCATGGAACTCTGGAGTTCCACCAGAGGTTACCAGGGGTTCCTTGAGAAATGATCCATTGATATTTCTCAGATAAGTTCCGACTGACACCATTGATCTTTTTAGCTATCTGTAACAAGGGAATTCTTCCCACTGACCATCACACTAATGTATCATGAGTAATTTTTAGCAGGTGTTCTCTGAGACCGGGAAGTTATTTCAAGGGTTCCTCTGTGTTGAAAAAGTTGAGAAAAACTGGTCTAGAAGGTAAGGAATAAGCAGAAATACCAATCTTTATCCTCAAGCTTCCTATAGGTCACATTTCCAGTCCCACAAACCTACCCCTCTCCACCTGTTCAGCATCATAATGTGCAATGCAATACCAGCATTTCTGTATTGTATGTGAGAACGTCAAAGGTTTGTCCACATATCAGGAGCAGATCAGAGAGCCAGCTGTTGGGGGTGCAAGGATTACCTACTTTAAACCTCCCATAGACTAAATGAACATTTAACCCATGTGTGTGTTGGGTGGGACACAAACTATTGGGCAGGCTGGAGTTACGCTTTACCTACAAGGTTTCTGTGATTTTCTGGGTAGATAGGTATCTGCCACATCTATGAGTGAGCCCAAATTCCTAGTGCCTCTTAAGCCAACTGCCATTTGAAAGTGTTTAACTCAACTGGAGGACAACACAATACGTATTCCAGGTTGGGGCTCTAATTTTTGGTGCTTTGCGGGCTCTAATACTTTATTGCTTTATGGATCTGGGCATACATCTATCATGTTTAGCCAAATTTTAGTTTGTTTTTTTTTCCCAGAGACTTGCTGGTGGGTGGGCCTTTCATACATTGGATAACCCATTGTAAGGTATGCCATGAATTAAACAGCCAAAGGGGACTGCAAAAGAAAACAGTATAGTATAAAAACGGGACCTGCATGGTAAGGGATTTCTACATTACTTAGTCATGCAGGTATTTGAACTCTACAAACTCATGTAGCTGGCACCAATCCAGATTATGATAAGGGCTGGCTCACACCATATTTTATTTATTTCAGGTAGTTAAATAGCGCCAGCAACTTATGCAGTGCTTTACATATACTGTAGATTCACATCAGTCCCTGCCCTCAAGAAGCTTACAATCTAAAGTCCCTAACTCGCATTCATACATACACATACTAGGGCCAATTTAGACAGGAGCCAATTAACTTACCAGCATGTTTTTGGAGTGTGGGAGGAAACTGGAGTATGCAGTTTAGTGCGTTTTTAAGCTCCAACAAAAATGCATGCAGAGCGTTTTCCATGTATTCCGATGCCTTAGTTCACATAAGTGCATTACATCTCAGTGCAACCTCAGGGGCGGACTGACAACTCATGGGGCCCCCGGGCAATAGGGGATCATGGGGCCCCGTGTCCTTGCCCAAACTCAAAAAAGCCTATGAAAAAGGTACCAGGGGCATCTCATGGGGCCCCCTACTGACCCCGGGCCCTCGGGCAGTGCCCAGAGTTTCCAAATTGTCAGTCCGCCCCTCCTCCCCAGCATCAAAATACCCCTAAGCACCAATAGGCCCTTCTTAAGCAACAGTAGACCCACCTTCAACAAAACACCCCCAAGCACCAATAGGTCCCCCTCCAGCAACAATAGATCCGGCTGCAACAAAGTACCCCACGAGCAACAATATGTCCCCCTCCAGCAGCAATAGACCCTCCTGCAACAAAATAGCCTCTGAGCAACATTAGACCCCCAGAAACAATAGATGTCCCAGCAGCCAACATCAATAAACACTCTCCCAGCAATAGAGCCTCCAGAACACTCCTGCGCTCCCCCACGTTCCCACTGAAAAAAAAAAGCCCTGATTGAGGTTGAAAGCTTTTGGGATGCATTGGATCTCTTCTTTAGACTTTATGCAATCCTGAAAATGCTTCCAAAACCCACATATTTATGCATAGGGGCTGATTTTTTAAATAAAGGCAAAAAGTCTGAAATAGGAGTTGCACATTGCAAGGGAATTTTTGCCAGCGCTTAGTGATTGAGGTGAAGCTCTGCTGACTTCCCTCATTCAATTGTGTGCAAATAATGTTTGTTGTTTTTTTTTTTTTTTTTTTTTAATTCTTTTACATGATTGGGTATTCTTTGCAAAGTGTAACTTCATCCCATGCACTAAGCTCTGAGGCAAATTCCCTTTCAAAGTAAACAGCTAATTTGAGTTACAAGGAGGAGCAATGAAATATTATTTAACCGCCTCCCGCCCGCCATATAGTACAATGACGGGCGCAAGGCGGTTCTCCTGCTCTGGGAGGATGACGTCCTCCCATTCTAACCGTGCATGCGTGGCTCCGGGAGCGGAGAGCGCGGCGATGCGCTATGTCCCTCGAACACAGCGGATCACCGATCAACGGAAAGAGCCAAAGATGTTGGCTCGGTCATGTGATTAGCTGTGTTCAATCACAGTTGATCACATGTAAACTGGGAAATGCCGGTTATCGGTATTTCTCTCCTCACGAGCTGTCACGCTGACAGCTCATGAGGAGAAGAGAGACGGTAATCGGCATTCCTCAGAGGGGACATGTACACTGATCATCAGGGCACTGATGATCAGTGTGCCCTGATGATCTGTGTAGCCCCAGCAGTGCCACCTGTCAGTGTCCATCAGTGCCGGCTGTCAGTGATCATTCATGCCACATGCCAGTGCCCATCAGTGCCACATTTCAGTGCCTACCAGTGCACATCAATGCCACATATCAGTGCTCATTTGAGCTGCCTTTCAGTGCCACCTATCAGTGCCAGTCAGTGCCACCTATCAGAGCTGCCAATCAGTGCCACCTGTCAGTGCTGCCTATCAGTGCTGCCTAACAGTGCCAGTCAGTGCCGCCTATCAGTGCCATATATGAGTGCTGCCTTTCAGTGCCCAGTGATGCCTGTATGCCCATCAGTGCCACCTACCAGTGCCTCATCAGTGCCACCTATCAGTGTCCATCAGTACAGCCTATTAGTGCCCATCACTACAGCCTCATTAGTGCACATCAGTGAAGGAGAAAAAAATCACTTATTTACAAAATTTCATAACAAAAACTAAGAAAAAACTTTTTTTTCTTCAACATTTTCAGTGGTTTTTGGTTTGTTTTGGAAAAATAAAAAACCCAGAGGTGATTAAATACCACCAAAATAAAGCTCTGTCACAAAAAAATTATAAAAATGTCATATGGGTACAGTGTTGCATGACCACGCAATTGTCATTCAAAGTGGGACAGCGCTGAAAGCTGGAAATTGGCCTGGGCAGGAAGGGGGTGAAAGTGCCCTGTAGGCTAGTGGTTTAAAAAAGATACACTTGTTTCCTTGACAAGCTTGAGTGATAAAGGTTATTGAGCTAGAGATTGGAGTTTGGGAGTGTTCCAGGGATAACCGACTTAAACAGTAACTTGACCTTACAATCAGCACTGAGAGATCAATGTACATTGCAAGGATTTTAGCAAACTTTGTAGCAAATTCCTACCTTTTTCTGCTCTGAAGAAATAGCTGTTTTTTTCACCAAGTTCTGTGCAGACTGATTTTAAATGTCAGTGACTGCTTCGTTATAATCACCTGGTGCACCCTAGTGTTCTGATGAGAAAAGCTGCAGGGCCTGCATGCCTTTGAACGTATTTAACCCTTAGCCCGTTCACACTGATGCGACTTCTCATACGATTTGAACTTCCGAATCGCATGACAAGTCCCACCCTATTGTCGGAAATAGAACCATTCAAATCTGTGGGACTCTGACTTTGAGTTGCCACACCGATTAGAGAGAAAGGTTCCAGCACTATTTTTTCTGCGATTTCGCACCGACTTGCATAGACATTTTTATTATTATTATTATTATACGGGATTTATATAACGCCAACAGTTTGCTCAGCGCTTTACAATATAACGGGAGACAATACAGCAACAATACAGTTCAATACAAGAGGGTTAGGAGGGCCTGATTCTGGGAGCTTACAATCTAAGAGGGAGGGGCTGGTGGTACAAAAGCTAATAACTGTGGGGAATGGACTGGTAGGAGGAAGAGAAGATTCCGTTGGAGGCAGGATAGGCTTCCCTGAAGAGATAGGGTTTCAGAGATCGCCTAAAAGTGAGAAGAGTAGGCGATAGTCTGATAAATTGGGGTAGAGACTTCCAGAGGATGGGGGAGGCTCTGGAGAAGTCCTGGAGACGAGCATGGGAGGAGGAGCCAAGGGAGCTAGGGAATAGGAGGTCGTGCGAGGAGCGGAGAGTACGGTTTGGGTGATATTTGGAGACAAGATTGGTGCATGAACTTGCCCAGATGTCTTACTGACTTATTGACCTGAGAATTTGAAATTCTGTGTCTTCAAGTGAACCAGGGACTATGGGTATATTTTACCAAAACTAACATTTCTGTTGCAGTGGATGCCTAAAATTTGACATATCTTTGTATAGACTCCAGGGAGAATTTGTGAGCAATTTGTACACCAACGTTATACAGAACGCCTCCAGGTTGCCATATTGCATTGAAGTTTTCACAAAGTTACAGTGCTGCAGACTGAAAAGTAAGGGTCATTTTTAAGAATAGTAAATGACAATATGACTTGAGCAGAAATTGTATATGCTATATTTTTTTTATTTTTCTTATTTGTTTTCCACAAAAGTGGGGTTACCCTTTAAAGATAAGTCCAGCCCAATCCTCACCTCAAGTGAGAGTCAGTCTGAAATCAGAGAAGCAATACAATACAAATAGTGGTAATGAAATGCAACCATTTTTGTAGACACCCATGAATAGTAATATTTATATTTTGATGTTACCCTGGTATATGGATATTTTAGGGGAGGATTGTTCTTGGACTTATCTGCTTCTGTGTTTCCAGATATTTTTCTGATTATACCTTTTGCTATCCTTCTAGTGTCTGGGTTCACAGATGTTTGAGATTTTTTGTGTATGGACATGTTTAAGGTTTGGCAGTCAATATATTGTACTGTGATATATTTGCTATCTGTGCTGGTCCAGCTTCTCACCCCTCTTCTTACCTGCCTACACGACCGTTTATGTACCTCCTGGGAGAGGAGCAAAAACGAATACTATAAAGCAGGGGTTTCCAAACTTTCCAAAGGACCAGATTACTGACCTTTAGGCTTTAGGGGGGGGCCCGACTGTGGCCAGTGGGAATAGAAAATACCCTGGCTTTAATGGAAATAAGCAATGCCCCATCATTGGTGTCAGTGGGAGGAATAGTGCCCCATCATTGGTGTCAGTGGGAGGAATAGTGCTCCATTACTGATGTCAGTGGGAGGAATAGTTTCCCATCACTGGTTTCAGTGGGAAGAACAGTGTCCCATCCCTGGTTTCAGTGGGAGAAATATTGCCCCATCATTAGTATCGGTAGAAGGAATAGAGCCCCATCACTGGTTTCAGTGGGAGGAATAGTGCCCCATCATTGGTATCAGTAGAAGGAATAGTGCCCCATCACTGGTTTCAGTGGGAGGAATAGTGCCCCATCGTTGGTATCAGTGGGAGGAATAGTGCCCCATCATTAGTGTCAGTGGAAGGAATGGTGCCTCATCATTGATGCCAGTGGCAGGAGGAATGGTGCCCCCATATTGGTGTCAGTGAAAGGAATGGTGCCCCATTATTGGTAGCAGTGGGTGGAATATTGCCCCATCATTGGTGTCAGTGGGAGGAATGGTGCCCCATTTTTGGTGTTAGTGGGATGAATAGTGCCCCATTGTTAGAATCAGTAGGAGTAATACAGTGGTAGTGTCAATGGGAGGAATAATGGTCCGTTTTGATGTTAATGGGGTGAATAATATACAATTGTTGGTGTCAGTTGGAGAAATACTGTTCCATCCTTAGTAATAGGAGGAATAGCACTCCACCGTTGGTATCAATGGGAGGAATAGTGTCCCAAGAGTCCAATAAAGGCAAGCAAAAGGGCTGCATCTGGCAGTTTGTGACCACTGATATAGAGTAGAGTGTCAATTAGGAATCTACTGGGGCTGCTAACTTCACATCTAAGATGGTGGACTTCTGGATGTCTTCACAAGGGGGAGGTTGACAGGAAAATTACATGCAAAAATATGCTATCTGCATAAATCACTTCTCACAAGTTTTCCTGGCACTAAGAGAAAAAAGGTGACAGGGGAGGGAGCTCCAGCACACAGCAGGTAATTGACAGCCTTGGCTCTGCTCCTGTGTGCTATGTGAAGGGGTGTGTGTCCCTTCCCTCCAATTAGTTGTCAGAACTCTCTTCACTGCAGTGTGCAATTTCAGCTCTCCTCCCCCTGCTTTCTGGAAGCTCAGATAAGATGTATTAATTCTGCACTTTGAATGGCAGTTTGAATGGCTGTAGAGAGGAAAAGCATGCAGATAAACAGGTACAACTTATGTTGGAGGAATTGTTTCATCTCTGTGTATCACCTGAGGCCAGTCACCTCACTGGGGATTAGTAAGGGTTTACAACCACTTTAACGTAATTAAAGGTTTTCT